GCCTTCTTCATTTAGAAGTTATTTAAAAAATTTGAACTCTTTTAAAAATCTTGAACGCCCTATATTTTGAAAATGAAGCATCTCTGGAAAAAATGTATACCTGATTTTTTCTTATTTTTTTATGAGGAATATCTCCTTAAAGTTTGTCGACTTGATCCTGAAACACCCTGTATATTGTACTATAATATTTAAGTAGTAATTCTTTTTTTAAACCCGTGTATACCCCTTATTAAAATAACCTTAAGAAAACACCATAACAGGAGAAACTGATACCTCCTCATATAACGTGAGTTAGCTTCATTAATAGAAATTGTTTACCATTGTCTTCTTGTACAAATGATTCGATTTCTACATTCGTCAAAATATTAAAATTCTTTGGTCGAGTTACATTTGAAGTGGGAGAAGAACTTTGAGACTTCTTTTTTATTAATATTTTCCTTAACATTCAGGAAATAAGTGGCGGTTTCCATACTTCAGAAGGCAAATATTTTTCATCACTTGAAAAATTAATTTAGCTTTCCACGTCATTCATACTTATATACATTCGAGTAGTTATATTTTCACAATATTTTTTTTAATTATCACGTAAATTACCAACACGACAGGTACAACAAATATGGTGATCGGAACCAAATAAATATCGATACTTTGTCTTAAAATCTGATCGATATATATATATTTCTATTATAAACATTAAATAAATTAAATAAATATATAATACACAGAGTGTTAATGATAAGTTTTGCCAAACTTCTCCCCTAATAACTATGCCACTGGAGTGTATTTTAGAATAAGTTATCCATGAAAAAATAGTCCCCACTAAAAAAATGTCATCCTCCAAATTTTATCATTAAATATTTTTTGCAAGTGAAGAAAAATTGAACTGTATCTTTGTAGGGAAGTGTCCTGTCAAAAGTTTTTAGAGAGCAAAAGTTGATTATTTTCAAAGTATACCAAATATCCCTCTTATTTCTCCCTTTCGCAACTAATAATATGAATTATAGACGGTACCTATATTAAATTAAAATTACCTGCATCGCACCAAATTCCGCACTGCTGCACTGCACTGCCAGGCGACTTGTCAACAACTGAAATTTATGACGCTGTAGACCAGAGCAACAATGCATATTGCTGTTTACCCGCACGCTCATTCTTCAACTGAGCGTATACATTTCTACCACATGCACGTTTAGTTCGACCAGACCTGTATATGGGTATGGTTAAATAAATATGGGAACAAGTTTTTTATATATTTCAATGCCGAGTTGCTGCGTCCACGACCGAACTTGCTACATACTGTCACCTTTTTGGTTCTTCAATTGATATCGGAAAGACTGTACTACCAGTGTGTTTATAATTGTATTATCTTCTAGTTTATCCATGATTTGTACAATACTGTGCTGTAAAAGTTCGCATTTCCTTTTCACTAATTTTAACAATATTTTGAAGATTTCGAAAAGAATATTGTGCGACACTCAGTTGCAGTTTTTATTCTTAAATTCAGAAATGTTACATCAGAATCTAAAATAAAAAATGACTATTCTATAGATACATACAACTTTTTAAGTATGTCCCTTTAATTTCTGAACGAACACTCTGTATAACATTTTATTTAAGATGTCACTTGTGGAAACAAAATAAAAAGTTGTCGAGAGATATGTTACTGCATCTTTAATCGATATAAGTCCATATCCTTCGCGGGGACCTTCGCGCCCGATACTCGCGGAACCCCCCCGACGTCCTACCGGTCCCCTACGTCACTACAGCAGCCATTTTGCGGCCAAGGTGAGTTGCGGAAGTGCATCGCAAGACAGACTCCTCCCCAGGGAAGTACGCGCTCCCCGGGGACCCTCTCGCCCCGCGCTCTCGCACGCGTTCCCATGGGGACGGCGGGATGATGACGGCGGAGCGGCCAGTAGGCAGCAGCGGCGGCGCTCGATATGCCGCCGACCATTGTAAGATATCGCCGCCGTCGCCGGACAACTCGCCTGTACCTGTCCTTGTCTAAGGGGGCCGCAGTCGAATGATACTCGGTGTATGATTCATTAATAATGGCGGGTGATGCCGTGGGTGCCTCAGGGACGCGTTCTGGGGCCTGTGTTGACCACAAACACTGTAAATTTAAAATTAGCGTGGACGCTAAACGTTTAAATGTTCAAATGTCGCAAATTAAAGATATAATCGAATAGTTTTCAATTTCTGCAATATCGTGGTTTCAAGTTTGATCTGTTCTAGTAGATTTAGTTGTTTTCCAATGTTCTGTACTGGGCCCTCTCCTTTTCGTAATACTTATCGATAGTATTGCCATCGATATGGAGACCAATGTATGTTTTATATTACCCCCAAATTCTAATTAAAAAAAATCATAGTTTTAATTATTCTGAATTCATAAAAATACAAGTATGGATAATATTATGTAGAAACAAACACGATGATTTGATAGGTCATGGCCATCGATAATGTCCTACCTGGGTCCGAATTATCAAAAAGGTCTTCATGGTGATTAGTGACTTCTTTTCTTGCTAGCCAGTTCAAATCAAAATCAAGATTAGCTCTTTTCGAGACAAGATCATCATGTTGATTTGACTAACAAAAATGTGAACTACAATAACATTATCAGAGTAAAAAAATAAAGAGTACATATCATTGGTAGGAGATTTAAGATTTTTTTTATACTCCTTATTTTACGATTTCAAACTTAAAGGCACTTCTGAATTCAAAAGGACTAGACTCATGTTATTGCGAACATGTAATGTAGCATTGCAACTAAGCAAAAATGATGGTGATGTCACCAGATTGACGTATTGGCAAGAAGGAAAATTGAAACGAAATATGTAGATATGATACGCAACCTTTTTGCCGTTTTATAATTGACTTATGAACAAAAATGGTATGCAAAAGTATTAGATTTTTTTTAATTGTAGTATAACAACCCCAGGTTCTATCGAAAAAAATAAATAAACGTAGTTGTGGCCAAAAATATGTGATCGTCATAAGGAATCCCTACGTTGTATGTATTTAATTTTTTATTGACCGGAAGGCGCCGGCTACTAACTTTGTAGAGGGGATGTATGGTTTAATTATATAAAACAAAAGCAGAGTAAATACACCTAACCTTTATTTACATACAATTCAAATTAAACATGTGACAAATAGAAAGAACAACAAAAATATTAACAACCATTAAACATAAAAGGAGAGTGCCAGGCTCACCTAGAGCTCCTGTGGGGAAAGAGCATGGCAGAGAAACCCACGATCGTTGTTCTTACCACCCAAATATATTATACAAAAACGACCATTAACCAAAGGAATAAATGAAGATCCTTTGCTAATGATAAATAAGTCCTGTCTCATTTAATGTGTCACTAAATGTCATCTGTTACTTCATATTAGTCATACACACTTCCAAGTAAAACTGAAGAGGTTTGGTGTTAGTTAGCCGACAGAGCCGGAAGGTACTGGAGTCCCATACGGGAGGCAATCCAGCTATAGTTGAGATTTCGGAAGATCCTTCATAACACTGGAGTCCCATACGGGAGGCAATCGAGCTTAATCCAGATTCGTTCCGCACGGGCGAAAATGTTAGTAAACTCAACAAGGCTCGTATAGACGTGTGACATAAAGTGGACACAAGAAATCAAAGAACAACCTGATCTTGTTTAAAACAAGTTAAATGTGAAATAAAGAAGTCGTTATTGTACTATCTGGGCGGTCTCGACAAAATACATATTTGAACATGTCATAAATAATGAACAATCTTAAATAATAATTGTAACAATTTTATATTAGAAAAATATACGCCCCTAAGCGTAAGACAATGAAGGTTAAACATATACAGAATTATTATCATGAGACATCTATATTTTACGAACAACGTCATCATTACAAAAACAAGTTAGCTGTAAAACAAAGGAGTCATTATTGTAAAGTCGGGGGCGCCCACGACGATATACATATTTTAACATGAAATAAATAATGAGCAATCGTTAATAATATAACAGTATAACAATTTTACCTTAGAAAAATATATGCCCTTGAGCATAAAGCAACGGAAGCTAAACATACAAAGAATTATTATCATGAAACATCTATAAACATTACAATCATAAGATTACACAGAACAATTAACAACAAAGTACTTAAAGAATATTACCTGCTAACTAATGACACTTTAACCAATTAACGACACACTGCCCGCCGATCGTCTTACTGCCGATCTCCACACCGTTCGCACTTCAACTACCTATCTTCAACTATTTAGGCTTCCTTCCAGAATTTCCTACCCAAGTGCCTGTTTTTTGTGCTTCCTTCTATCGACCGTTAATATTACTTTTTCATTGTTATACAACACCTATGTAACAGGTGACGTCGAAGTTGATAAGATAAGTACGGTTTTGCACAGAATATCTTCAGTCTAAATGAAAATCACTTTGACACCAGAATTTATCTCTTTGTATCTTGTTAAACAAAATAATAAAACAGTCATTAAGTATACTCTAAATCGGTAAACTTTCGTTTGGAAGTTTTTATTTTCACCAAATCTATTATAAAAGTAAGAAAAGTAGGTCAATAACTACATAAAATTGAAAGCGCAACAAAAACATTACCAGTATTTTTATTTATCCGTTTTGTCATGATTATTTTCATTGAATGTAGCTGACCAAATTAGACCGTAGGATGTATATTGTATAATGTTCAGTCAGATTGCTTGTGTGCACGCATAATCTGATTGTGCGTATTTAATATACATTATTATTGGATGATCTTCACCAAACAGCTATTCAGCATGCACAAAACTTGTCTGAAGTAGGTAATACAACCCTACAGTTTCCGATAAAACAGTAGTATTTTTTTCAACAATAATTTTACTTTCTACTAGGTTATTTTTATGTTTTATTAAAATTGGTTTACTTAACTAATAATTGCTAACGATTAAAAACTGTTTAGTTGTAGACTAAAGCTTGTTGCTGTCAGAAACTAATTATTGCGTCCTGTTACAGGTTGTCATATCAACACAGGTGGCTGTGGACGGACCCTTGCTGGCAATTTCCGACAACATGTTCGTACACAACAACTCCAAACATGGCAGAAGGGCGAAACGACTGGACCCCACTGAAGGTAACTATGTTAAAAGTTCTAATGTTAACGTTAAATAAAAGCATACAGAATGTGTTTAATGTCAGAATAAATTTATCAAAGTTTAACTACAATTTGACTAAATCGGGATCAGTGACAAAGGTATAAGATGTTTGATTGGCTGTTACGGAAGGATTTAGTTCAAATATCTTTTTATAAATCGACTCTTAGCCTGCTTCCAATGTAAGGAGCGGCGCGTGGGTAAAATTTAGAACAACTTAAATTTTGCACAAATTCACAATTGTTTGAATGAAAGGTAGTCATAATTACTAAGATTTTGGACTGACGCACGTCTGATATTGTTTTAATTTTTGGACTGTCATTTATGAACACTTCTTCAAGATGAAGGTGCACACAAATTTTTATTCTAAACCTGTCCATCCAAATATGTAAAAATGTATGTAAAGTGAATTTGACTGTGTATAGGTCCTTATTATTATTACTTACGCTCAGCTCATACTCATACTGCAGAGCCATTTTGTCCCGATCATGTATCTTCTCGATTATCGATCGCACTAAATGACATCACGAATTAGCGCGACAGCAGACACCGATTTAAAAGATTTATTTTGCGCGTCAGATTGTAATAACTTGTAAATTATTTCTAGTAATTTTTAAAAAATTGATGGAAGTTGCTTATTCCTTCAGTGCTGCCAGAATCATCCACTAAATCGACAGACATAAACAAGGCTAATAGCTAGAATAATACCATTAACAAATTAAAAATAAGGCATAAAATTATGATTAGATATTCCAGGTATTAGTCTGACATAATTTATAAATTATAAAAGTTATTTTGACGTATACTGTCAGGCCCATAAAATGTAGATTAAATAGTTTTTTCGTATTTTGACTGATAATATGCTATCTTACTAAATTCAAAATCGTTTACTAAAGTGGCACTTTACCATATGAAATGTACTACTACACAGGGTGTTAATTAAGTGTGTACAAAAATTCAACAGACGATTATTTGAATGATTTTAAGACAAAAAGTTCATATAAACATTGGTCCGCAGATGCTTCGTTTTGAACATACAGAGTGTTAACTTGATCTGATTTATTAAGTCCAGTGGCGTCCCGAACGGTACTTTAACGAATATTTTTGACAAAAAAATGTACGCCACTGACGTTTTTGTAATTTTTATATATTTTTTTTTTAATTAAGCAACCAAAAATACTTTTTTGTCTCTTGAATGTTTTTCGTATCTTGCATTGCATGTCCCTGGACCACACAAGAATCATGGGGAAAAGTTTCATTTGGAAATTATCATTTTTTTATAATTAATTTTGTATTAATAACATGTAACATCTAAATAATATAAAGTACAAATAACACTGCCAAACTAGAACAAAATTGGGCAAAGGGTATTTAATATATTTACGAAATACCAATTTTTTTACAAATGTATCTTGAAACTTTTTGCCTTAAAATCACTCAAATAATCGTCTGTTGAATCTATTACACATACTTAATTAACACCCTGTATGTATAGCAATGTCATTGTAAATAAAAAACAGTTTGACAGAAAATATCGGAAAAATGTTATATATCATATTGAACTTAAATCTAATACTATATTAGATCTATGATATTAAAAGTACAATTACTCAAATTTTGAAAAGTTATAACGAAATTTATTCAGTTGTACTTGTTCTCTCTGAAAACTATTCTCTATATGCATTCCTGATTGATCTTAAGGGCCCCATATTCTTTAAATAGTGTTTTCCGCAAAGACAAATAATTTCAAACATTTAATAACTGAATAATCAAAAGCTTATCAAATAATAGGAATGTTATGTCATGCCACCTGAGTATTTTCAAAGACGCCGCAGTAAAACGAATAAACAGGTGCAAAAAACGATCAAACCATTAAGGTTTTAGGTACTGAAATCTACGAAAATATTAACTTTTTTAGACATAACTCCACATGTAAATATTCTTATAATATTTACTTGCTTAGTCCTACATATAAAATTGTTTACTTTTATTTATAAGTACGTGAAAATAATTCTTAAAATGTGGGGTTAGGATAACAGAAAACGCATGTTTTACAAACGCTTTTTTTTAGTTATTATTTTATTTGGGTAAATTTAAATGGTAACAATTAATAAACAAAACATCAAGGATTTTATTTTTGTGCTTACTTTTGTTCTACACGTTTTACTTTTCAAGATTTCAGTACCTAAAAATGCCAGAAATTTCTCGGCCAGGGATATGGCCACCTTAAGGTGCTACTAGTTGTTGCTGATGAAATATATTTTCAACTTATTGACGTAGCTTTCCTCGATATACCCTTTAGCCATACTAGTTGACTGCCATTGTCTATGTCCTTTAAGTGTTTGAACATCAACTCCACTGTCAACGAGGAAGGTGGCACACATCCTCCTCAAGCAATAGTCAGTGTAACTGGATGCATCTGGAAGTTTTAAGTATTCTGCAATTCTTTGGGAAATTTTTGCAAAACTATTGATGCTAACTAGTTGTATGATTATAGTAAATGAAAAATCTGTTGTGTTTTACTTGTTTGGGTCTCAGTTGTAAATACTTATGATAAATTTCATATCCGTTGCATTCTGATCTTACGGTAAATACACGTTTCTTTTTGGTTTTAGTATCATGCAAAGCCGACAAGCCCGATTTAAACCAAATATTAGTACTACTTGCATTAGTAAGAACTTATCGTCTGGGACCTCTTTTAAAAACATAGTAACGTTTTCCATAGTTGGTTTCTTTGCTTCGTATGTGCCATTTTGACATTTTAAAAAGACAACTAGCTTTTTCTTAGTGATATATCCATATTTTCGTTTATTTGTATAGTATTTTTCAACATGGAATATGTAGACCATAAACTGGATGCCTCGAGAAACTTTACCTAAAATAACGAAAGACATTGTATGAAAAACACTAAAATATCTTTAAAAAATAGCTTACCTTCTCACAAACTTACACTAGCATAACATTTTCATCAGTTCTTAGTGCGTTTTTTATCATCCTCCACCTACGAAATACTTCATATACCTTCTCATATTTTTCCTTGGATTTTAAAGGAAGTAAGCTCGAAGATGCTTCTCGAGCGGCAGTTAAAATGTCCTCAGAACAATTTTTTTGGTATATTCGTTTAGTAAAACTTTGTTTTTCTGATCTTGTTATTTAATATACAGGGTTTTTCATAATGACGTACAAATATTTTAAGGAGGTGTTTAAAAAGTAATTTTACTACCACTTCCAATACATTTTTTCGATTTGAGCCCCTCCTGAGAAAATATTCAAATCTCAATAAAATTAGCTTTTATTTTTTTTCGGCAAGGAAAAATAATTTATTTTTTTGCTCGTAAACCATTAAGTATATGAAAAAATGGGAATAGTAAAAAGTTTCTAAATGAAATGTAGTATTAAAAGGTATTTTTCTGGAATTGGCTAACGTAGAAAAAAGTTGTGAGAGAAATAAAACCAAAGGGTACTAATTTCTTTCAGTCAAAGACGTAAAATAGAAAAAAGACTACCAAAAAATACCATTCAACTAGTTGTTAACGTGTACCAAAATTCAAATGTCTAAGTTTATCCGTTTTCGTGAAAAAAAATAAAAATAAAAGCCAATTTTTTCGGAAATTTTGAGATTTGAATATTATCTCTGGGGGGGGCCCAAATCAAAAAAATATATTAGAAGTAACCCCCCCAAAATTACTTTCTAAACACCTCCTTAAAACATTTGCACATCATTATGAAACACTCTGTACATACAAGCACATTTCCATTTTCTTTGTGGTCGAAGGAACCTACTTCCTTCTCTTAAGTCTAGTACAACCTGTATCACGACTGAGAACAGCGCGCCAACGCAACCAACAACCACTGCGGTATATGTCCAGAACTCGCAGCCAGCGTCGGGCGAGACAATGTCCCCGGCAGGTGAGCGCTCGGCCACAAATCATCGCCGAACTAGTTGGTATGCGCGCTGCGGCTACGCTACGGTGGCGTCCGCGAAAACATCTCGTTTGTATGCGCTGCCTCGGCGGATCCGAAACTTTGCGAAATTGGTTCGCGATCCGGCCCAGTGGAGGAAGGAAGCGGAATCGTGGAGGGTAATAGGAAGCGCGAGATGGAGTGCAGGGCCTAGTCGGTTGCTTACGGATAGACAGAAGATTTGGGAACGGCGGAAAATTACTTCAGTGGGGTAGCCTTGTTACAAACTGCGTCGTTGTCGAGGAAGTGTCCACGATTTTGTTTTAGGCTGGAACATTAAATGACTAAGTTATATGTACAGGGTGTCCAAAAATTGACGGCCGTCCTTCTGGGATTTCTTTAAGGGGACAAAGGCAAATCGAAAATCAAGAAGGAAAAGTTTATCTGTTTTTCTTTGCTGAGTAATTATTAAAAACATTATTCAAAAAAACTAAAAAAGTGGAAGTAAAAGTCACTTTACAGTTTACCGCATAAATGTGTGAAATTTTGTCTGTTTCATTTCATAAAACCTTGTTTCCTTAGATATTATTTTAAGTAAAATGTTGATTTTAAATAATTATTTTCGATTCGATTCGATTTATTAACAACTTTTTAACACACTTCCAATTTGAATATACAGGGTGTCCGGAAAGTCATGTCAAAAATGAAGGGTATTCAGGGTAGGTGAAAATAGTAGTAGTACTATTTTTTTCCTATCGGGCTTCGTTATGGAATTATTCGCCTTCAAAGAAAGAAGTTTGAAAACCAAGTTCCAATTATAACTTCCAAGTCGTTACCATGACAACAATGAAATTTGGGCAATTAAAGTAACTCATGGTAATGTTCATGTCTAAGTTTAAACTGATATACAATATGTCTGGATTATACAGGAGCAGACGAAATTATACATTTAAATTTACACATTTTTGGCATTATTTTTTTCATAGTTCCTTTCCTCTCTCACTTTGGTAAAAAAAAGTTTACGGCATACGAACAGTTTAATCTTTATTCAGACCTTTTCCATACTCTTAAATAAATA